TCGTCGCTTCCCAAACGGAAGGTTCCAGGGCTTTCGACAGCTTAGTTATTTCAGCCCCCAACCCATGCAAAATATAATCAAGCATAACACTAACAACTATCGTACAGTCGCACAAATAAATACATTAACACCTACGTACATTGCACTCATTCTGGTTAGTCGGTGGAGTACTCGATAATTCGTCATAGACACTCTACTGGAGGGGCGATGGTGACGTTGTATATCACCATAAGCGCCTCCCCCCTCACACTAATAAATCCACGTACTCAGACAAAACACAGAAACACAAAATTCATAAAATAGATTCATATACTATACAAAAATCCCCCTATAAAGAGGAAGAGGGGACACAGAAGTTCGCTACTGTACTCAAGAACCATTTTAAATCTGACGGCATGCCTACATGCTTTCTGAAAGGAGCCAAGGCATGACATACATGGGAGGCATTGAGTAACTTTCAGTCCCTAATGGGCACCTGCGTGGGCTTTGCCCTAGGAACAGCTTGTATCAACCGCGTGTGACCAAAATTAAGGAATATCGATGCCGTTAATTTATCCCAATACAATCTGGATACATAAAAAACATATTTTAAACAAAAATTATTTATGCGATTTGTTAGCTTGTTTTGCTACCGTGTTACTCCTGATTTGCCGCTGGCTGTACACACTGGGGGATGCGGTCGAATCAATATTTGAGCATCGATGCTTACAATGGATGATAAAGCACGTGCTTCTTAACGGCAAATCCCCTTTTTAGGCAATTTTATTTCCGGGAATCGGGTGGTGTTATGATATGTAAACTTTAATTCATATCCTTAAGAAGTATTAGTAAACATAGTCATTGAAACAATAATTACAAAATATTGCAGGCTTCAAAAAACGATCATCCTTTTTTATTATTAATAACGATACCTGTCATGATCAATACAAAGTATTTGAGCAAATTTTGTAAATATTATTGTTCCGCAATAATCTGGCGTGAAAAGATTAAAAACAGTATCTTTGTTCATTCCGAATGAAATTACACTGACGTTTTCGGCTAATTAATTAACTAAAACCTCAAATACAATATTTTTTCTACCTGAATGAAAAATTTCTTAACACAGGTTTCTTTCACATTTTCCTTCCTTCTAATTAAACCAATATCTTTGATAATATACATATAGAACAACAGGTTTTCAAATATCGGGCAAAAATAATTTATACGTTTTCCAATTATGAGCAACGTTGTAGAAGCGGAGTTTCACTTTGTCATAAACTTAATTAAATCTCTTTGAATACGTAGTAATCTGCGTTGTAATTAATTATAAAGCAAGGCTTCATTCAAAAAGTGCTTAATGATACAATATAACATTATTATTTATTTATCACTCTCAAATCATCACCCTGCATAAACGTTATGCTATTATTAAACCAAAACGTTATTGTAATATATTAATAATTCTTTTTGAGTGAATCACCTTGTAGACTACCATAGTGGTGTTAAAATGAATAATAAATAAACACAATCAACAAAATAGAAAATAATCAATTTAAAGGCAAATTGAAAACATTTTCATACAATGAATGGCAATTACATTAATATAAAAAAAGTTTCAAATGAAGTAAATCTTTTCTAATACAATATATCAAAATTTTACAAATCATTTGGGGGTCAATGCCTTGTATGTAGAGAAAGATTTTCGATGTTATCCCACATAATTGAATGGCCAGTCCTTGGCTACATATAGGGAGCGTGGAGGTGTGCTACTCAATATGAGAATTGTGCTTGAGCACGGAAGCGAGTATTTGGGTTTCCCGTTCGGATTTGTGAAGAAACAGGACTGTTTTATTGTATACAGGACTTGACCTTGTTTTTCTTTGAGTATATTGAGATTGAATGTATTTTTAGCGAGAATGTGGAGTATGAGAGCGTGGATGAAATGTTGAGTACTCCATCGACCCTGGATTAGATTAGTTATTATGTGTAAGATTGATGGAGAATATGAACTACTTCATCACCCAAAGTGAATGATAGCAAATAGGAATGAATGTATGTAAAAGTGATTGAGAGTGTGAATGGATTTGGATTTGGAGAATGCGTTGGGAGCTGAAATGACCGAGCTAGACGGATAAGACCGAGGCCAGACCACAGACTGCCAACTCCCGGGGTGGGTGATTCTCGAGGCCTGCCAGTGATTTATTGTAAATTAAAAAGCTAGACTTAACGGTGGACTGCGAGGAGTGATAGGCAGTACAGGTAGTGCGGATTTGACCTTATGGTCACTTAAATCAGTAACCAGAAATAAAACAACACTATAAAACTTATCATAACAAATATTTCAGATATTTTTATTTTTTTCCAAATTTTAATAACAGGGAGGTGGCTGACTGTTGAAGGATCCCTGAATGAAGGATTTCTCAGGGATGGTGATCCCTGAACTAGTTGCGTCCATATTTTTTTAAATAAATTATTATTTTTATTGCAAGTTTTAGATTATTATTAATAATGTTAAATATAAATGTAATAATAAAAATATTATAAATTAACAGAATAAAAACAGTTATGTAGTTTTATTCCTATAATCTAGCATAAAACAGTTTATGAGTAATACATAATTTGGTGAAATATTAACTCATTATTGTAACCCATTTGGTTTTTATATTCCTTTTTATTCTGCCTTGCGCCATAACATGACCTTTGGATGATGTTGAAACACGAAAACAAAATAGAGATCAGCAAGAAAGGTATGTTTATTTTTAAGCTCTAGATCGAAATTTGCACCTAGGAAAGCCAAATTAACCGACTACTTTTCTTTAACGATTTCGGGAAAAAAAACTATTTCTGATATTTGTTGATGAAAGTAAAGGTGAAAACATTGTGGTTGATTATCAGATATGTTACTAGGGGTATGATGGTCAAACGCCGATCATTTTAAGTTTTTTTCCCAATACTGGTTCATACTTAAGCAGCACTTAAAAATATTCAGGGATGTGGCCAACTAAAAAGAAAAAAAAAATAACCCATCCTCTTCATCAGGACAATTAGACTCGAACACTGCGCTTGTAACGTACGAGATATTTTTATGATTGTACGAACAACGTAAAAACTAAAAATTAGTGTGATTGGATTTTAAGGTAAATGTTGACTGTAGGTTAAAACAATTCAAGCATTTTTTAAATTACTCGAAAGCCTCAAGCGAAAACAAAACAAATTTGATTAACTTTTTTTAACCCTCCTTTAAATTTATACTTATGGACGGAGACATGGAGATGAATCTTTTGTAAAAAAAAAAAAGTAATGTTAGTCGCTGTTATTTGGGAAAATTGTTGCGAAGTTTTACTTCCATTACTATGAGCAATTACTTTAAAATCAATTACAATAATAAGTAAATAAATTGGCTGAAGAAGTTGGAAATTCCGTTTTTCCGAAAAACAATGTTCGGAAATATTTTTTTGCAAATAACTTGAACATGGTGATTCAAAATTAATCCACGTTTGCGGCGTTGAATTAGATCAAAACTTTTGCACATGAGAAACTAGACAAAAATAAAAGTTTACGTGTCTCGAGTTTTACACAAAAAGCTTCAATAGAAATAATTAAAATAAGGGTGGTCAGAAGTTAAACTCGCCCTGCATAAAAAGCCTATGTTTTGGAAAAAATGATACTTCTAAAACAGAAAACAAAAGCAAAAACCAAGTGCCCAAACATCTATCGATATGAAAACTACAATTTATTTGAACCCCAAAAGGATGACCAATTTTTACTTCATTTATTACTTGAGGCATTTCCATTAATATAAATGCGGTGAATTCAGTCACAAAAGCTCTCAAAACATGTACATCTTGCCTTATGAAATAGTTAACTATTCCTATCACGCTGTCCTGGAGAATAAGATAGAAACGTTTTGGCTCATGAGGAACTAGACAAAATATAAAATTTTACATCTTGCGGATTTTTCTCAAAAACGCCTCAATAAAGAATAAATCAATAAAATAAGGGTGAACAGAAGTTAAACTCGCCCAGCATAAAAAATATATGATGGTCAGAAAAAAGTTTAGTTCCAAAAAATAAAGAAAAAACAAAAATTAACTACCCAAACATCTATCAATTTGAAAAACTTCGATTAATTGTAGACTCTAAATGCATGACAAATTTTTTCTCCATTTAAAACCTGTAGATTTCCATTAAAATCACTCAACCCTTAACAACCAACAACTCGGTCAAATTCTTCTTAAACAATTTAACGCGTTTAAACAATAGCGTCAAAAAACTTTCGAAAATGTACATTAACGAATACCGCTGTCCAGGAGATTAAGATCGAAACTTTTTGGCACACGAAAAAGTAGACAAAAAAATTGCTGGGGAAGGATGTTGTTAGAAATGTTTACGTGCCTTGGGTTTTTCACAAAAATATCCCAATAAAAAATAAATCATTATAATAAGGAGATGGACAGAAGTTAAACTTGCCCTGTAGTTCAAACAAACAACGAAACAACAAAAAACAACTACCCAAACATCTATCTACATGAAAAACTTTAACTTAATAAATTTATACATCTCTTTTAGTATTACTTACTTTAAAAACACCTTTAAATTATCTTTAAAAAACTTTAGTATCAAAAAATTGTATATTCTCCTACTGGACAAAAACTTTACCTTAGACTTATAAGCTGCTTTGAAATAATTCTGTTGGCATTTTAGGCAATTTAATGTTAGTGTAATAATTCATATTATGAGTTTCATAATTATAAAGTAGAAAATGCAACTCATACAATTCTTTTTTAAAAATTTAAATACAGGCTGATTCAATGAAAATATGTTCATTAAATTCAATCTATCCATAATGCATAATGAAATTAAAAATTTATATCTCTTCCTAATCCTTCTTTTTTTATATATAAAAATTAGAATGCTAATATAATTATATCAGAGAAAAAATTACAAAATTGTGTGAATATTTGCTGTAGAGTATTGATTACTATGGAGAAGAAGAACTTTTTATTTCTGAAAATTGTTACCTGAGATATGTCCAAAAGATTGTGTAAGAGCAGCTATTGAGAATCCGGAAGCGAAGGCTGCGGCGAGTATGGTCTGAGCCGTCGATCCTCCAGAAGCGACGCCGGCAGCAGCCCCGCAGACTGTGAATACATAAAAGAAAGAAGCCAAGCACTCTGAAATTATGCTTCTCCAGAATTCGAGTGTGCGAAGCTCTGCTTTAGGTGGCAGGAGCCTCGGCGTGATAGGCGCCTCTCGTCGAAGCTCCTCCAGCTTTTCGAAAAGGGTCACGATATTGTACTCGAGCGTGGCCGAATCGGCCTGGACCGTCAGAGCTCCCGAAGCCATACCGAACCGGACGAAGCGTTGTTGCTGACTGAGAGGGACACTTGTTGGAGCCACCCCTTCCATGGCCCGGTCGCCCTTCCAGCCTGGATACAGCATGCGCTTTGGTCTTGTAAACAACATACCCCACGGCCGCCCTCGCCCTCGCCAACCCGGCTCATGTCACACTGCCCTAAATATAAAATCCACCCTATCACCGTCTAGCACCCAGAAGTGGCAATCAAAACCCTTTGTCAAAAACATAACAAAAACTCCTTCCGTATATCATCATTCATCCCGAATTGAAAATGTTTAAATAGCTACTTCATTTCTACCAAACAAGCATAGACAAAAAACTAGGATTTTGTTGTTTATTTCAAACTACATGTATTTTGTATCATTATATTAATTACAACATACTTATTTTAATATATACCAAATTAAACTAGATCAGAAATTCTAAGGTTTGAAAAAAAGCACCAAAATACCGAAAAGATTTTAGTAATATATTTAAATGTGTGGTGATTAGTGACCGTTAGTCGATGATTTTTCAGAAATCGTGAGATGCGGTCTGGTGTGATGTAGGTTTCAGAAAAACATTTTCTTTATCGTGCTAACGTTTCGATCTTTATTGAGATCATCTTCAGGGCCTGGGATTTACAAACATTGTTTAAATTTAACAAAAACATGTAGGATGTGGAAAAAAGTGAATTCATACAATGCAAAAATATATTTTTTGTATTCAATCAAAGTATTTCTATTCACTACGCAGAAAAAAAAACACTTTGAGTGAGTAGAAATACTTTGATTGAATACAAATTGTTTTTTTTTGTTGTTGTATAAATTCACTTTTTTCCACATCCTACATGTTTTTGTTAAATTTAAACAATATAAATGATAAATGATGGAGTGAGTGTGGTGTTCAATCGTTTTTAAAAAGATAGTTCCTACTCACAGTAAGTTGTTTTGCAACGATCCGGATTTCGAGCCTTTTAGCTCATCATCAGGTTGAAGGACTTCTACAACCACGTCTCTCGACATGAATTGCCAAAGTTTAAACAATGTTTGTAAATCCCAGGCCCTGAACATGATCTCAATAAAGATCGAAACGTTGGCACGATAAAGAAAATGTTTTTCTAAAACCTACTTTACACCAGACCGCATCTCACGATTTCTGAATAATCAGTAATATATTAAAATTTAACTAAGAATTTATTAGGTACCAGTTTGCTTTTAATAACACGTATTATATCCTCTGGCTTCGTGGAGTGCGAGTCTATAGGCACCGCGTGAGTAAATAAGTGATCGGATTTCCTTGTGAAACAGAATCCTATTAAAGTTTAGGTAATTAAAATAATTAAATTTTAGGTCCTGAGCCTCTGTTTTTATCCAATATTTCAAATATGCAATATTCTTCAAATATGCTTAATAAAATTTGAAATATACGGAGGTATGATTCGAAAAGATATCTGATGAGCATGGTCATAAGTGTCCTAATTATATATTATAAGATAAATTATCATTACAGTTTCTCTTCGTTAATTACCGTGCTTCTGTTGGAAAGATAGTCAACTGGAGTGTCCTGAAAAAACGGTGATAATAGTCTGGGTGTCAAAGGCAAATGTTAAAGTAGTGGCAAAGGAAGAAACAATGAATTTTTGGACCTCCAAAAAACCCCTGAATACGAATTTTACTAAAATCAAAAAATAATTTTTTGCTTAAAAATGTTCGTCATCCAAATATTTTTTTTTAAATTTCATTTATAATGACAAAATATCTGAACATTGTTGATATATACTGAAAGAATATACTTCTTTCCAACGGTTGTATCACCGTTCGATTTATATAAAATGTAGCGGAGTTAGGAAATTTTAATCGGAACAACAGACATCGACGAAAAAAATGGCCTCATTTTTTCTTTTTAATCGATCTATTTTACAATGAAAAATCATTACACATAATTAGGATATACATATAAACATGCACAAACACGATATTTCATACGCATTTACATATCTGGCGTGATAGATTTGTGGTGGCCGTTCACAAATCTATTCCGTTAAAGTGGCCGTATTGGCCATATGGCATGAACTCAACAGTAGGTCCTAGACTTGCCAATGTTTCACAATCAGAAGCATGGCCACCTGCGATTCGATCTTCCATGAGGGTTGGAAGGATTATTATTTTGCGGCTGCTAATGCTTACTGGCAAGAACGCACGGACACGCGTCTTATATTTTTCGACTAAGTATCTTCTATTTGTAAAACTGAAATGCTGGCTTAATTGACCATTTTTTAAGAAAACATCATTCAGAATGAAAAATTTCTTATCTGCGGTTGCAGAGCGAAAAGAGAGTTCGAAAATCGAAACTTTTGGGAAATCGTTGAAAAGATTTATATTTCTCCTCAATCAATTAAGGTTTTTAGTTGAGATAAAAAAGTCAGTGTCACGAGCGGTATTCGAACCCACGATCTTCGGCTAGATACGCCGCTGCTCTACCACCTGAGCAGCGTTGAGATGGGAAGTTAGTGTCCGAGTGGATATAGGTCACGATAGCTCAGGTGGTAGAGCAGCGGCGTATTTAGCCGAAGATCGTGGGTTCGAATCCCGCTCGTGACACTGACTTTTTTATCTCAACTAAAAACCTTAATTAATTGAAAGATATTAATTGGGCAAGCGGACCACGAAAACTAGTGAATTTCTCCTCAATATTGAATAATAAAATTTCCATCGAATATACATTTCGAATTTTCTCAGCATTAGCAATGCTCCCTGAAGGGGTTTTCTATTTTTGACTTATCCCACTTTTCAACAGATATATAATTTATAAATTTGACGGATGTAACTTATATACATTAATTAGGCTTATTTGAGCAACAAAGTTAGTCTCATTTTTCTTTGAAGAAAGCGCTACCAACAATAAAGTGTTCTTTGTTTAAAACTGTTTAATAATTTTAAAACACGGATGGAAGGAGGCTAAGTTAAGTAGTCGTGAAGCATTCCTGATTTTAAACTTTACTTATACACACGTGAACACAGTCTATTAAATTTAAAAAAAGCAAAAAATTGAATTGATATCAAAATTAATTAAGTCAATGATTCTTGATAGGATCGACCAACAGTTTTAATGTAATAATCAAGGTTGTGGTCAATTGGTTTGATAACAACCTCAATGACATCATTAAAATTAATTTTTTTATCTTCTTAATAGATGGAGAGATAGATAAATAAATACTTTTATTCACAACAAAAGCAAAAATCTATTACAAAAAAAGAAATTTATAAAGATGTACAAGCTTGAATTAAAACCATCTGCGGGAGGTTTTTGTTGATACCATCATTAAAATTAATTAGTTAATTAGAAAAGCTGGCACGAACAGAAAGTAAAGCATAGAAAAGTAATTGAATAAAATAATACAGAAAAATAGAATGGTGAGACTGAAGCCAGAGATGTATTTGAGATCCATTTGTGTCGTATGAGAATTGATAATTAAATTAATGGATCAAGTAAATTTCTTAATAAGCACAATTTAATTATATTTGTAATCTTATAATTTTATTTCAATTATAAATTATGGTTGGGCCATTCATTTCGGGACTTACTAATACGCAAAGCATGGGACTTATTTATATTCGGGGTCCAACGAAACGCCATGCAGAGATATTGTTGTATGAATAACGAAGAATGGAATAATATCAAGGGTAGAGATGGAAAATGTATCTTAGTGCTTACTTGGATCGGCATAGCTGGAATACATCCAAATAAGAAAATAAATTAACCCTGTGTAATACTCGGAAATGCTTTTATGAATAAGAAATGTCAGAATCCAAGAATGCCAGTTTAAATGAAAGTTACTTCTTCCTTCTAAGCAATAAAGCCACGAGGAGCAATATCGTTATGTTTCCTTCTCAATACAATGTACATTATATGTGTGTTAAATTGTGTTTAAAAAATAAACAATTAGGCCTTAAAAGAAGCGATAATTCACAAACCAAATTGTATTTACGTGGGTAGGCGAAGAGGGTGTGTAGATATTTTTAGGATAATCTCTTTTTCCGGTGTTTTTTAGGGATAAACATCTGCGTATCGTATGTTAATTAGATGGGGTGATCCCCTTAACGCGAAGGGATGAACCGTTCTCTTTACGTATTTAAATCATCTTCCCTTCGTCCTAAATTTGAAATACCTCTTTGTGTGGGTTATATTGACGAAGAAAAGGTTCTTTTAGATAACTAAATGGATAAATTCTAACGGAATCCCTACAAAAAGGACTCTCATATTTTTAATATGAATGAGGAACTCACAAATAGTTATATTCTATTCTTTAACGAACAGCTGTGGGTTACGATAAAGCAATTGCTTTATATGCTTTTAATAATGCGACCACCCATAATTAATTTTTTTTTAAACTAGTCATCTATTACTTCGAGGTACGTCCAAGTCTGAACGTAATGATTTTTAGTAGAGATTAAAATTGTAATTTATGTACATTTGCAAAATGTTCTCCATCTGATTTTTTATGCATGCACGAGGAACATATGAGAAATAGGATGGAATTTAGATATCGACCAATCCTTTTCAGGTGTCCGGGCCAGCGCAGACCTGTTTAACAAAAAATACGAGTACGGCCGCCCATAATTTCTGAAGTGCACTATCGTGATTGACACGAAAGGGAAAACTTACTTTTACGTCTATGTACAGAGAACGGAAAAGTTTTTGTTTTACCATTTATTGACAAAAATTAAATTTTACCCGTTTCACCGCGTCCAAAGCAATTCAAACAATGTGTACCATATATGTAGGCAAATAATTCAAAATGCAGCTTTCCAATTAGATTACTAAATTTCCTTGTATCCCTTACGATCCATTAACGAAGTTATCCGAACTTTACTGTAAAAGCGTCTTTTAGTTTTTGTAACTTTCTGTATATCCAATATATTTCATAATTTACAATTAATTAAGGTTTTTAGTTGAGATGAAAAAAAGTTAATGGCACGAGCGGGATTCGAACCCACGATCTTCGGCTAGATACGCCGCTGCTCTTCCACTTTAGCTATCGTGACCTCGATCCACTCGGACATCAACTTCCTATCTCAATCCCACCTTATGAGTTTTCCCTCCTTTTTGCCATTTC